CAAATATACATATACATAAATAAGTTCATTGGAGCAATTTTTATCCTTGTAATAAAATATCTTGCATACAACTATAAAATGACCTAAAAATCAATTAACAAGTCAATTTACTTTGGTTATGCCATAACAAAACAAAGATAATGATGAACGGAAATATTCAATTAAATTTCTTCTATGAACTTAGAACTATAAGACCTTTAAGGTTAACTAGGTAAAAAATAGTTATTATTATTATTAGAGAGCGCATGATGTAGCATGAGTAAAATGTACAGATGGTTTTTAATTTCTAATTTACATCTCTAGCCAAGATTTACTATTCGATTCTAAAGTAAGTAGATAAAATATTTTTTAAAAAAGAAAAAGAAGTTCTCCTATATAATTGTGATGTCATTTCATATAAAAAATATTGAGATATAAAATGTTTCTCTTGAGAATTGAATGTACATACATTTTTTATTGTTTTTTTCATTTAATTTATAATTTCAATTTTTATCTCTCTATTTTCTTACACGTTCTCATCTGCCTTTCGCTATATCTTGATGTTTATCTACATTTAACTATATTTAATAATACAATTATCATTACGTAATGAACGCTAATATCTTTTGTTTTCTTCGCTTCTTTTTTCTTTTTTTTGACAATTCTCTATGATATTAATAAAAAAATTTTATATTAAAAAATCGAAAAGGTGACAATTGAATCTCTATGAAATAAAAAAAAGTGTTTATATCCACGAACAAAACAAATGAAGATTTGATTATTGGAAAAATAATTTTTATCTCGTTCGAAAATCGACGTTCTGATTGATCAAGTGATCTATAATATTAAACACTATTAACTTTCTAGTGTAGAAGTAAATGATCATAGCAGACAATATTTATATTTCTTTGAAAAAAGAAAAAACGATGGGAAGAGGGGGGAGGGGAAGGAGGAAAGGTGTTATTTGATGTTAGATCAAATTCTTTGTCGTATTCATTCATTCATGTTCAAAAAAATAAATCAAGTGTCATTTTTTTTTCCTTTTTCTTCTTCTTATTCTAGACGTGTTAAATCCCACCCATTTTTAGTTTTTATTTCATTTAACCATCATTATATATACATTATCATCATTCTACCTAGTAGTAGTAAGTTATCAACTATAGAAATGTAATAGATCTTAATCATGCATCATTAGCAGTTCTTGCATGTGTCAATTTATAATCTCCTTCCAGATAGAAAGAGAAAGAGAGAAAGAGAGAGCAAAATATTATGTGTGTGTATGTAGATCGTTCATCTATAATCGGAAGTAAAATTCATTTAAAAAAGAAGAATATATATGTTGATTATGAATGGAGATACTTTTTTCTAAGTTAAATAAAGCGAAATCAAACTTTGGCAAAAAAAAAAAGAAGAAGAAAAAGTAATTCGTTATTTTGAAAATATTCAAAGCTATGTGGATTCTTTAGAGAACAGGTGTGAACAATTTTTTATTTTAAACTACATGAATGGATAATTTTTGATAGGTTTTTACCATCCTGAAGTATTATCTAAGTGATATTGAACATGAATAGTGATCTCTAATGTAAGATAATGGATACCATTGAAGATTGTATAAGTAGTCGAGTTCATGTTTGATTACTATCAAAATATTTATTTCTTTACATCGTTGTAATAAATGAGACATACGGTTATCTAATTTGATGATATCAATCAATTAGTTCTAAATCATTTTTTTTTCTCTCTATTATTTTGATGTTTATTAGTTCGCTTTGTTTTATATGTGATGGTGTGTATTATCAATCGCTTGCACACGTTCTGTTCTCACATCAATACATAATTTATGTTTTTAATTTGAATAAGTAGTAGAAGTAGATACCTCTAGTTTCACGTAATATCCATTTATAAGTAGAATAGAACAATAAAATAATCGTTGTCATTATCATTAGCATGTGTCAGTCATATAGTCATAAAAATAGAAGAGAAATAAAAAGAGAGAAATCAATCAATTATGTTCAAAGAGAGAATTATTGCCAATGGTCATGTAAATGAGAGCAGAATCTAATTAGCATGAGGAGTATACATCTATATTTAAGATTCTATTTGAGAAGTTATACATATGGCTTCATTTTTCCGCTCACCGATTTATGTTTGCAAATTTTTTCGAAGAGAGATAAACAGAAAATGGTAGAGCATTTAACAAAAAAATAATCAAGTAAAGATTATGTTGCAATCAAGAGAGAAATAAACAAAACGAACTTAGACAAAACACATGTTTTTCTCACTCATATCCAGTATGTTTTAGAATAAGTTCAAAAACTGATGATACGAAGGATGTTTTAGCCTCATCTATGTTCCATGTACGTAAAAAAGACTGATTATGATCAGAAAGTTATATTGATAGTTTTCTCGACTATTAGAAATTAATTTAACTTCGAGAATATTATACAATAATGCAACGATGGGGAAAGGGGAAAGGCGCATGAGCTCTTCGTCCAATGAGAATTTTAAAATTTGTACTTTTTATAGAAAAATATTTGAAAATTACGTTTGGTTCAGTCAATTTTTTACAGAACTTTTCGTAGTATACGTAGCTCACCTCGTTTTCTTGACCTAGTGAAGATTGATTGACGTGCTTGGCGATAAAAAAACCTTGGAAGGGTTGCGTCACTGACACTGTAGACCTACTGCTTAGGAAGATACTAATTTTCACTTGAAAATCACAAAAGACTGTCACGGTCAATCGCACATCATATTAATATCCTTAATATTTAGTTGATCATGCAACACGAATAACCTCTAATCTTATTAGTAGAGAAAAAACAGTGGCATTTATTATTGCGTATATATTCGTCTATACACATTCCCATGACAAATAAAAGAAATTCTTTTGTTATGAAAAAAAAAAGAATCACTTATCACATAGATAAGAGAAAGACGACATAGAAATACATATCTTAATAAATATGTATAGCACTGTTCACTATTAAAATGCGTGACTTTATTTCAAGTACAAACTATCTTATCAATCTAGAACAATTGAACATATATATGTATATGTATGAAGAGAGACAGAGAGAGAGAGAAATTGATTGTTCAAATTTCATGCATGAAGAACAAACTCTGTACCCAATAAAATAAGAGAAAAACTGATTCATCATATTATACGGTGATTAACACCGTCCCATCAATAAAATCAAATTTCCTGTCTCCTATATGCTTTTTTTCTTCATTATCATTCATTATAGTTTCATTAAGTAAGAGTTGTGAAAAAAAAAACGTTTTGACAATGTACACATTTCAATCTCAGTCTCACGTTATCCTTGAATATCAGAATAATGTATCCATATTTATACAATATGTTTATTATAATTAATCAAATAATTTACCGATAAGAAACAAGTTCTAAAATGATTAAGTTAGTTGATATTCGACTATGTGTTTTAAGTTAGAGAGAAAAAATCTTACAGTTCAATTACTCAAATGACATATAAATGACAATAATAATCTGCTTAATATAGTACATAACTCATATAGAAACGCAACAAGAAAAAAACAAACGAGAAGTTTATTGTGGTGAAAAATATTGTACAGTATCATGATGATGAGAATAACGTATTCAACTAACCAGACAAACATTTTTCTTATATAAACTAAATGATTTATTTACAGAATGTTTTATTTTTTGCTTTTGTTGAGAGATCTAACAAGTAACTTAAGAATTGTTGATTAAACTAATGTGTAGATGCAATGTCTACGTTCAGAGCTGTTTAGATCCCTAGATGAGCATAAGACGACATAATCTACGCTTGAAATTATTGTGCATGTGAACTGATATTCAGTTAACAGAGAAATTTTTACAGATTAATTCAAAGTATAGTGTTGATCTTCAATAAATGTTGATGAAAAGATTTTAAAGATTTGAAAATTTGAAAAAAAAGTTAAACAGAACGTAGTTTTTACATTCTGATGAATTTTTTTCAAATTTTTTCTCATTGTCAAAATTATTTTCGTTTACTAATATCTCTTTTCGAATTAGTCATGATCGATTGTTATCTACGTATTACACTTTTATATCAAGTGTTCTTTTAATAAATTTTATTTTAGATCTATTTTAGATTAAAAATCATTTATTTCTTTTCTTTTTTCTTTTTCTCTTATTCTGCTTTTTCTCTTTTTTTTTCTTTCCGGTTTCTGACAGAGAGAAACAGAGAGAAAGAAAGAGAAAGAGAAATAGATATAGGGAAGAAGAGAATAGATCTTTTACTACTGAATTGTACAATTTTTCAGACACATATATCAGGTACTTCTTTTTATCCTTGCTCCATCTAATCACTGTCAATGTTCCATTTTAATTACTGATTTTTCATTTAATCATGTTAAAAATATTATCATCAATTATTTTAATATTTCTAAATATTCAACAATATCAAACAATTGTTTCAAAAATCTTACCATCAGTATCTATATTTGAAGAAAGTCCATTATCATCGACTATTATCGATCTTCAATCATATTTGAATACAATTGATTTTCAATCTGGATATTATTCAACATCATCCATAATTCTTTTACAAAGTCAAACGAGTGCACCATTTGAATATATTAATGGAACAATACGTTTAAAATCACGTTTAGGTAAAGAGAAAAAAACAACAACAAAAAACAATCAAATCTTATATCCGTTTAAAGATAACATTTATATTTTTTTTCACTTAGTTTAGATCGTGAAGAATATTGTAAAAAACGTTTGTGTAATTGTCATTCAAAAAATAATAATAATAATAATGGTCAATGTAATTTTACAATTACTCTAACAGTTAATATTGATACACCACCATACAATTATATTCTTTCATTACCAATAATATGTATTGATTTAAATGATAATGCACCAAAATTTTCACAATTAGAATCAACAATAATAATAGCTGAAAATGCACCACGTGGTCATCGTGTACCATTAGAAACAGCAACAGATAATGATTCATTAGAATATGGTATTGTTGAATATCGTCTACTTTGGTTAAATAATACAACAATAAAAGAATTTTCAATTAATTATGATAATATAACGAGAGAATTAGAATTAGTTGTGAGAGAAAAATTAGATCGTGAAAATATTTCACAATATGTATTAAAATTAATTGCTATTGATCGTGGAAAACCATCGAATTTTGGTACACAAATATTGACAATTATAATTAGGTTAAAATTTTAAAAAAAAATTTTTTTTTATTTTATTTAAAATATAAATTTTTCTTCTTCCTTATATTTTTTTTTCTTTTTAGTGATGTAAATGATTGTCGACCAAAATTTGAATTTGATGTTTATAATATTAGTGTATCAGAAAATTCTATTCCAGAAAATTTAATTCATGTTAAAGCATTTGATCTTGATAGTGGAATAAATTCTGAATTAGATTATCATTTAGATAATAATTATAATAATTTATTTGATATTGATAAATTAAATGGTATTATTATATTAAAACATTCTCTTGATTATGAAATTCGTCAATATTATTTATTAAAAGTCATAGCAACAGATCATGGTGTTAATCATTTAACTGGTGTATGTATGGTGCATGTATTTGTCATTGAGTAAGTATATTCAAAATTTATCTATTTATTCTAATTTAAATGAATTTTTTTGTTTTTTTGTTGTCTAGTCAAAATGATAATGCACCTGAAATAGATATTCATTTTACTAAAAATATATTACATAATACGGATAGTAACATGGCCTATATATCAGAATCATATGATATTCTATTACCATTTGCTTATATTAATGTAAGAGATAAAGATTCTGAAGTAAATGGAAAGGTAAAATTGGAAATTTTTTTTTTTATTCTCTCTTTAAAAATTTCATATATTTTTGATTTCTAGGCTCAATTATTTGTTGAACCAGATCAATTTTTTTTAAAAATAATAAAAGATAATTATTATGAATTAAAATCAAAACTTTCATTTGATCGTGAAATGAAAAATTCATATCAAATTGAATTAAATGCTCGTGATTATGGTACACCATCACTTCGTCGATCAATGACATTTTATTTAAATATAACAGATATTAATGATTATCGACCACTATTTCATTTATCAAATTATTCATTTGAAATATATGAAAATAATCGATTACCAACAATAATTGGACAAGTTTATGCATCAGATTTAGATAATGATATAAATGGTCAAATATCCTATAATATTATTTCAAAAGATAAAAATATAAATAATATATTTTCTATATCATCTATTGATGGTATTATTACAACAAATTATAGTTTTAATTATGAAGAACAAAAACAGTATATATTTCAAGTAAGAGCAATAGATCATGGTATACCATCAATGGAATCTTTAACAAATATTTATGTAAATATTTTAAATATAAATGAACATATACCAAAATTTACACAAAATATATATCATTTTTCAATTGATGAAAATTCAACAAATAATGTGACTTATATTGGACAAGTTGAAGCACATGATTTAGATCATAGTGATCGTATAACATATTCATTTGCAGACGATAATAATAATCTATATTATCATTTATTTTCAATAAATCAATCAACCGGTATTATATGGACAAATACAATATTAGATAGAGAAAAATATTCACAATATGAATTAACCGTATTAGCAATAGATAATGCAAAAAATATACCAGCAACCGGTACAAGTCTCGTTCAAATTATGATCAAGTAAGTCATATTGTTTAAAAATACACAAAATTTTAATCTTTTCTACAATGGATACCCTAATGAATGTACTTGAGGTCCATATGTAATGTCCAGAGTACCTGAAGTTTTTTTGCAAGTATAAAAGGTACTTATCAATTAATTTAACAAACAAATGTACTAAATAAGTATTTTATTTAGTATTTGGCAGGTAACCTAGTAAGTACTTGCAAAATATATGCAAGTATCCGAAGTTCTTCCAAGGTCTTTTGCACATATTAAATCTAAAAATGCTTGACAAGTATTTAACTAAGTACTTTAGAAAATTTGCAAGTAACTAAGTATTTGATTTCAAATACATTTACTAGGATAGTCTTAAAATTATCCATTTCTGTTTAGAATTGAAAATAGAACAATGATTTGACATTTTTTTAATCCCTTCCTATATCAACTATAGACATAACTTTGATCAACATGATAGTTCAGTTGAACTTTTTTCTGAAAAATTTCAATTCTATACTAAATGTAGAATATACTATTCTCAATTGATCATATATCTTCTTAAATTGTATGATATTATTAATTAATACTATTAAAAAAAGATATAAATTCTATTTCTATTTATTTATTTATTTTAGTGACTTAAATGATAATTATCCTATTTTTGTATGGCCTGATGTTGATGAACTTAAACATATATTATTTAATGAAAATATTCAACAATCAAATATTCATTATGATCTATCAGAATTTTATACAAGTCAATTTATTACTGATATTATTGTACACGATGCTGATATTGGTAATAATGCTAAAATTGATTTAATATTAAATCGACGAGAAGATCAACAATTATTCTATATTGGAGATAATAATTCACTTTGGTTAAAAAATATGTCAATAATACCTGGTACATATGAAATTGAATTAATTGCTCGTGATCATGGTCAACCATCATTAGAAACAAAAAAATTATTACGTTTAAATATATTTACTCGTGATTCATCTTTTTATAGTTTTGGTAAACAATTATCTCATGTATCATTATTAATGATTATTATTCTATCATTGATTGCAACATGTTCAACATGTACTGTACTCATATGTATTGCATGGAAACGTTTTCGTTATTCACAAAATGTTAAATCATTATATGGAAGTCATTTAATTGTTAATGATGAAGAAAAAAAATCAAGAGGACAACGTTGTTGTGGAAATAATAGTGGTGAAAGTAGACCAAATTCAACATTAATTGATACATCAAATGATTATGCCATTATAGTAAAACGAAAAGTAAGTCATTTTAATTATAGATATTGAAAGATTACTAATTCAAGAAACTTTTACAATTGTTCTATATTCTATTCATTGATTTAATAAATACGAAATACATAATTACTTGTTTAAATGTATTAATAAGACAAAAAAAAAATTTTAGACAGATAATCTGTTAACATAAAAATATACTGTAAATAAAAAAAGAAATATTAAAATGAATATAATTAATTATGAATCTTATTTTTAAAAAAAAATTATTGCCAGTTTATTTTAAATACACGAAATAATAGATCTACTTATGTAGTCATTTCGTTCAAGTATAGGAATTTTTTAATATTATTACATATGAGATAGAAACAGACAGTCTTAATCAGTGTTTGTATCATCTAAATCGAACGTTCTTTTGTATTATTATTATAAACAATAATGAATAATTCAATTAAAATTGGTATATATTGCTGTCTATCTAATATCGTTCATAACATTTGTTTGTTCATATATAAACAAGAAAAATGGCAGATACTCTTCTAACTATAAATGAATGTATTCATCTTGAACAATGTTTAGATCAATTGTAAGCATATAGAACCTTCATAGAAAATAAATCTTTGACCTTCGCTACTTTTTTTCTTTTTCTTTTTTTTTGTTCTAACATCTGGTAATGATACAGTATAACAATTCTTTTCGGATTTCTTTCTTTTTTCTTTGTTTCATCTTCTAGGATAATAATCATGGTAATAGTCTATCATCAGGTGAATATTCAACATCATTATGTCCACCTATTTTCAATGGTTCAACATCATCATCTGAAATAATGGAACATCATAATTTATCGAAACAAAAATATTTAAAACAATATCAATCAAATACCGTTTCAGCATTAACAACATTAACTAGAAAATCATCAAAACGAAAAAATGTTAGCTTTGATAACACTGATGTTCTTGATGATTTATTTTTAAATCGACAATTATTATCAAATGGTGATAATTCGTATCCTTCAACAAATATTTCAGCATTTAGTACATTACCAAAAAAAAATTCTAGTTTTAATCAACCAATTCTACCAGAATTATCTAAAAAGTCAGATTTTTCAACATTACAATCATTATTAGATAATACAAATAAAGTTTCAACAATATCATTTATAGATCGAACAAAAAAACCTAAAGTACCACCATTATTAGATGGTATTTCATATTTGGATTCTATGTTGAACGATTCGAAATATCATTCAAATTATCAGAATAGAACTGATATACAAGATAATGAATGTTCAGGATGGTATAAAGTAACAGATTCATACACTACTCGAGCATCAATTGTATAGACAAAAGAGAGAGAGAGATAGAGAAGAGTTTGTCGATGTTTTTTTTTAGTTCAATTTTTTTGTAAATTTTTTTTTTTCATTTTCCACTTGATATTTTTATTATTATAGTAAAATTAAATAACTTTTATACAAATAAAAGTAATTGACAAATGTCGAACTTCAAACAAATAATTAATTTTATTAAAAATGTATGACTTTACACACGTATAAATTGACGTACACTATATAAAATCAAACTAAAAAATATGATTTTTAAACGAGCTGTACACGAATTTTTACTGTACAAGGTATAGGTATTAGGTATATACCAGTTATTTCTTACTGATTTTTTAGGGAAAATTGTTCTAAGGTGGTTATTAAGAATTTATAAAACGTCTCTTTTTGGGAAGAAATGTTTCATCTATCTAATTACACCGAATAAAAAAAATTGAAAGGTAAAAGAGAGAAGTTTTTAACGGATTACTTAAGAGACGAACAGTTATATAACTGGTAACCAATATCATATAGAGTTATGGCATTTTAAAATGCTCATATTTGCGCCATAATTAATTTCAAACCTTTTTCTTTAGTGCTAATACATAGAATAAATATTTCTCTAAAAAAAAAGCACAGGGCGAGATGATGCTTAATGACTATGTTAAAACGATTTTCCTGGATGCCATTATATCGGTTCTATAACTAGTGTATACTAAGTAAGCATAAGTACACTGATATCATTCGTTGGATAATTTTTTATGTATGAAAGGATAATAAAGAGCGTATATTGAAGAAGCTCAATACGTTCATATTATTCGTGTTGACTACATTGACCTTGATGAAAATATTTTCACAGGTTCACATGGAAAAGTTTTAGTGACCTAGTTCTATACAGAAAAACGTTATGATAGAGACATCATATTCCAAATACCTACTTATTGTCATTCTTCCGACCAAAACATTTTTAAGTTAAGGGGGGGGGGGGGGGGGGGGGGGGGGGGGGGGGGGGGGGGGGGGGGGGGGGGGGGGGGGGGGGGGGGGGGGGGGGGGGGGGGGGGGGGGGGGGGGGGGGGGGGGGGGGGGGGGGNNNTTTTGTTTTATTTTTATTATTTTTTTTTTTTTTTTATTTTTTATTTTTTTTTTTTTTTTTTTTTTTTTTTTTTTTTTTTTTTTTTTTTTTTTTTTTTTTTTTAATTTTTTTTTTTTTTTTTTTTTTTAATCCTCCCCCCCCCCCCCCCCCCCCCCTTCTAAAAGGAAAAGCATGTTTTGGTTAAAAATTTGGAAAAATCGCGATATTTTTGAGAAATAAAAAAATTCTCATCGTAACGCCAATTTTGTTTTAAATCTTATTGGTAAACACTTATTTTATTTATCTAGCTAATTTCTAATAGATATAAATTCGGAAACTATATATCATCGAGTAAAATGACGGTTAGCAGATAATAATCAACAAGAAATGATTATAATTAATAACTTCTACCTATTAGCATTAAAAGCCGCTTGTTAAAGGTTCTTTTCAAACTCTGTCTTTTCGATAAATTTCTCTTCAATTTAATAAAGAGACGTTTAAGTCTCGGGACTGTTAGGATTGTCGCAATGAGATGGTTTTCTGTATGTGGAACATAATCTTGAACTTAAACATTTCTCATCATTTTGTAATTGACAGACTTCTAGACTAGGCTAGTTTCATTGTGCAATACACGGTTCATTGTAGAGGACGGGATACCATCGTAAAAGAACGCTTTTTTTAATTTGTTGTTGTTTGTTCAAGTGAGATTAAACAAGTGCAAAAAGCTGAGCATGAAGAGATAAAAAAGCAAAAAATTACTTTGATAGTAGAGAATTTTTACTAAATTCACTCCTGACGTCTCCTGGTTCCAGTTTTTGTTGTTCTTTCGCTTAGTAGTAGAGCTCTTATACACAGAAAGAAATTCGAAATGGCTGTAACAAATGACACGAAGGATATCAGACGGATTCAGTGGACGTAAACCTATATTTGAGTTGCCTTCAACAAACGGCTGTCTAAGATCGGTGCTGCCAATTGTTTCTACTGGCCAAACTAAGTATCTGACACTTTTTCTTCAATTCTTCAACAATCGTGACTGACAATGTATTTTCAACTTGAAGAGTATTGATGGTCGCGATACTGGGAAGAAAAAGTATCAGACACTTATTTTGACCGCTTCTAGTCATACAAAATAGTAAGAAAAATAGATAAAGTGTAAGCAATGTGGATAGTTCAGCGAGAAATCTACGTATAAAGAAGTAAATGATAGCAGTGATTGATTAATGCATAAGTATGTTTTTCTCATAATTTATCGCAGGAAGTGTTGCTAAGTTACGTTTTCTTCTACAGAATGAATGAGAATTCATAAATATTAATGATTTGTTTTCTTTCTCTTATCTGTACATAATACATTGTACTAAGAAGTTCTAGAAAAGTCATAAAAGGAACAAGGAAAAGCGTCGATTATAAGATATATTCTTTTCACACTGTTCCCTGGCCAAGCTCAGTATTTATCTTGCAATCTTTACAGTGAACGCTAAGAAGTTGTTAGAAAAGAAACTAGATCACATACTACAAATATCATGATATTAAGAATTATTTATTCTAGATGCCGAATGAAGCTTTTTCTTTCATACTTTAGCAATATTTCTTTTTTAAATTTCAGATTAAGTTTACAAATGTAATGTAGCCCTAAAGTGAAAACCGAACTTTTTGTGTAAAACAAGTAACCTCACTTATTCTTCTAACAATGACTGAAGTCGTATCCCCTTATCCCTATTGTACAGAAAATTCAACTAACCTAACAAGACCAGGTTCGCAATCCTTCTATTGCATGAATGGAAGTTCCGACGAAACTGTGATAGACAAGCATCAAGCGAAACGTTTATATCGTCTTCAACGAGCGCCGAGTTTTGATGAACATATTCACTTAGAAAAAGATGAACAACAAGATTATCAATCAATTTTACGAAGACAAATTGGTTCGAGTTGTCTTGAACCACCTGTATATATCTTAAAACAGAATCCAGATACATCGAATTCATCAATGAGAAGTTTTTCGCTTGGAAAATCTCGTCTAGATCCACCGAGAATTAATCCGAAGGAAGTGACAACCGTCCGAGGTCATCCGTCTACAGAGTTCGGGTACATGTCCTTACTCCTAATTTTTATTTAGTCGATTATAGAAGCATTTGTTTATTTAAAAAAGTAAAAAATTAAAGTATGAGCTCCACTGAAGAGTTTAAAAGTATTTTCTAAAAGTCGAAACAGTTATGAACAATTATACATCGATTTATAAACATTTGATTTAAAAATGCATTTATAAACTGTTTTTCGCTTATTGAATAATCCAGAATAAGATGAGTTTAAAATTATTTATAAATTACCGTATTTTAAACTCTTCAGTGTTGAACGTAGAGTTGCAATGATGATTTTGCTTGATCTTCTGCGGTGTTTCATGTTTTACAAACGGAGCTTTAGCGGCGCTGAAGCGCCGTTATTCTATAACTAGACATTTCGTTTGCTTTATTTCCTTTTATACATACTTTTTATAAAATATCAATGCCTGTTTTTTTAGACATGACCATGTCTCTATAAATGGAAATGTGCGTGATGTGCCAAGATGGAATAATCGATTAGTTGCCGACGTGACTTTACGTGGTCGTCTGGGACCGGGTGGTGAGTTCATTAAGAAGAGTGTTAAAAAAAATTATATTTACTTAGGTCGCAAAAATTATAGGAACATTGAATCCGGAGGAAGATTGTAAACAAGCCCATCAGCATCTAATGAGCAGAACTCGATCATTAGAACGTATGTCATTGAATGATAGTATATCTCGCTCTCACCAACGTCCAGTTACTGATGGACGTAATCGTGATGAGCTTGCCAGAAGTTTTATGTACACATCCGCTCAACAGTCGGCCTGGAATGAAGTAAATTGGGGTAAAATCAATTTGCTTATTGAAATGATTGTCTCTATCTGAAACTATTTTTGTGTATTAGATTCAAAGTTAGCTCCAAAATTGCCATTACCAATAACTACGTATGAAGATATGGGAAGTGATCCTGTGTTGAAAAAGAAAACCTTAGCATCATTGAACGATTCAAGAACGCACGATCTTCTTGAGTGGGATCGATTTCAGCCCAGAAAAACCACATTTTATCGTAAACCAATCGCCAATGTTGCTCCGTTACCTAGAGCAAACCAAATATCAGGTAATTTATACGGGAGTTATTGAAAGGTGGCACGAATTTAATATTTTGCTCTTTCTTTCTAGGTTATTCGGGTACGATTGGTGGCCAGAATATTCACGATATAGACGATCCTACTGCAAATTTTACACCATTTACAGTATTGAGAACTGAACAACCGAAATTTGCGATGAATCCATTGTAAGTGGTTATTACCAAAAAAATTATAGATTAAAGTTAACGTTTATTGTGTTTTAGTCAATTGAATATTCCATTTTACACTGGTCGCTATCACTGGACAAAGACAACACCGGTTACCCATTATGATCAATTTGGTCGACCATACACGACCACCGCCGCATTTCATAAGTAAGTTCAACACACATAAAGTAAAAACTACTGATTTATTGTTAATTATTAGTTGATTCTGATTAACTAATTTCTATAAAAACGACTATTTTAACCTTTTCTACCTTAGTGATTAATTTAATGTTTTTGTTTTAGACCATTACCAGTCGATTATGGTTCGTACCGTTTTGCTGGTCAAGCTGGTGATTTATCGTCGTCTGTGACAACTGTCGTTCCACATAATCCATTCAATCAACTAAATGTAAACAAAGATAATTCCAATAACTCGCTTGATACCAGAATATCACCCATTATAATTCAACAAACGCAAACTAATACATCAAATATAAACGAAGCGAAGAAAATTCAAGATTCTGATAAACCAAGTAAAACTCCACCCGGTAATCTACCAGCTAGTCAAGCTCCAGAAAATGAAAATAAAGCAGTTTAATTCAAACAACGATCTCATATAACTGTTGATAAAAATAACACTTTCTTCCTCTGCTAAAATTATATTTAATATTATTTTTGATATATTTTAATATTTACAACATAAAACTTTGAAATTTTTTCTTTATAAGCAACAATCTTTAGGATTTTTGTTTCTGAAGATTTCTTTTTATTACAAAATAATTTATTTATAGTGAAAACAATAAACGAATGTAAGATTTTTTCAATAAAAGGTTTTTTTATCCAAAAACTTTTTTAATATTTCATTTAATCTAATGCATACTGTTTGAGATTGATCGAACTATCCATTTATAATAACTATTTAAAATGAATATGTCAACTTTTTCAGCTCTAAGAGATGAAAATGAATAAAAGCATAACTGTTTGAATTTTTGTACACATTTCCTTTGATGGTAATGTTGCCGAACGTTATAATTCATTTCTTCTTGTCTTAGATGCACATCTATTCTTTATGTCATATGAGGATAGCAACAAAAGGTGTGTTCTGTTTTTATTAGACTTTTAAGCGACATTCCTAAAAAGAAAAGAGAACAGTGTGAAGAATACCATATACTTTGTTGTGTATTGCCAAGACAAGAACTTTTTTTCAAAGTAATTAAATGAGTACGTGATAAAATAAATATTTGTAATAAAGAGTGGCTTATTTTTACAAAGAAACTTCAAAGAAAACACGTTTTAGTTTTTATGTGAAACATCATTTCAAAACCACCAACAGCGTTTTTTTAGTGAATAAGTTAAAATATGTTAAGAAGGTCTATATTTAGTGACTTGTTAGTTGTATACATAGTAATAATTCATTTTCTGCATCAAAAATAAGTTATAGTAATTTTTTAAATTGCGTATACTCCTCGAACTATAATTAACTGAAAAATGATTGCCACACCGTTAAATATATTTTTAAGTTAAATCACGTATAGGCTAACATAAAGTTAACATGTTCATCATTTGCCGTGATGGCATATCGTTATATCAGATTTTTGTATTGAAAATATAAACTAATGTACACGCCCAGTTCGTTTATGATTATAATTTTCAAGAGAAGAATTTATTTCTATACGAATATTTTTTCTTTTATTAACTTGAATCAAGGTTATACAATAGTGTTTTTTTTTTTTTTTTGTGAAAAATTAATAAAAAAAATATTTACAATTGAAAGTAAATAAAATAACTATAAGAGTCGTCATAGAAAAAAACAATGAGTAGAGTACACTACATTTAATATAAATAATAAAAAGACGGTTAGTTAGGGCTCATTTGAAAAATAGAAAAGTAAATAAACACGTCAAAGTTGTTTCTATATGTATAATATAGAGTTAACATTTTCTTTTTCTAACACGTAACGACAGGGTCAGTATTAGATGAGCATCACTATCACAGAATTTTTCAATGTTTAAATTTAAAATAAATTGGATCTTAATTGTTGAAAACTAATATCGTAAATGAAATTCTAACCCATTCTTTTGATAAGATATTTAACTATTTATTTATGAAATTGTGTTCGAAAGAATATGATTGGTAGATCTGATAGATGTACAATTTCTAACAATCTTAAAACATGAATATCATAATTTGAGTTATTCTTCCATTTGAAATTATCAGATTTTCTAGACAAATAGTCATTGTAAATATAACAACATCCACTTGATAAAGCCCACCGACTTCATCCGAAATTCACCTGATCCACTTAGTAGTACATTTTATAGTACGTGTTTCATTTGTTATTCGACAGTTGTTCTTTTCCCAATGTTTTCGGCATTTCGAATATTTCGTTAAGTAGTCGATCCATTAATTTATCACCAGAGCACCGGAAAAAATTTCCATTAGGGCATTGTTCCGCTGCTATTTCAACGTGTATAACCTGTTTCAAGAGTGCATTTTATTGTTACGCAAAAGCAAACGTCAAAGATAAATAACTGCCGATATTTTATGATCATATTATCGATTTGCGAATATTTATCTTTGTGATATAGGGCTTCAAATCAACATTAACTATTTTCTGTTTGATATCGTTGAATTTTATGTTTCATCTAACACTGTCGCATTTCTAAAACTCGAACTGTATACGATGTCATCTAGAAAAGTACTCATTGTAGTACGTGTTCTGTCTGTATCTGTAACGTAGCCAAGAATGTACACTAAGTTTGTACACAACAAAACAAATTCTTCGATTCGATCTCTTGAGCACCATTCCATTCGATATAGTTGATTGATAAAGACAAAATTCACAGTATGGAAAGAAATGACATCAACCTATAAAATTAAGCAATCCTTACAGTCTGTACAGCTTAAAGTAATGATGGTTTTTAAACTATCACAGTCAGAACTGTTTATCATCTTAACACTGTTCTCAAACGTTTCCGAAAACATCGTAAAAAACATTTTTTATTGGCTAAGTTAAAATGAAGCAGTGGGAATTAACAGCATCGGAGTCATTTTTTTTGTCTATTATTTAGAGACTAAACTTTAGAGTGTGATTTATGTATTGTGTTTGTTGCATATAATATCACACCATGTGTTATTTATTTTTGACGATAGAAATATCGGAGAGCTAAACTCGTACGGAAAATATTTAAGAAAAAAATAATGGAAGTGTCAAGCATGTATGCCAGAGAACCAAGTAGCATATGATGTTCACCATCTGTGATCAGTCAAAATTCTCTTAGAGAATCAATTCTACATTTCATTCACTTGTGTATCGTGCGCAAATTTGAAGAAAAAACTTTTGGCTAGACGCTATTTCTGTTTTTACTACTAAGAATCGTTATTTCCGAAATGAGTGAGTTAGAAAAGTTGAATTTCGAAATTGTTTTTTAATAATGGAATGATTTCATATCAAAATTATATATGTAGTAGACGTTTTCTTTATCGTCATCGATCTTAGCGATGTCTTTTTTGACAATACTTGAAAACTTCTGTTCAAAGTAAACAGACGACAACAGAAGACTTAACGTTACCACTCCCCACAATTCAAAAGTTACAGGAATAATACTCAAAAATCCTTTTAAAACCTTGGTTTTTGATATTGATTGAGTGCATTAGCAAACCCTGAGTGCGAAACTCACTTTTTGGAAGGGCTTTTGGCAAAGTAATCAGAAAACATGGCGTATATCTCTTTTTTTTTCAGAGCTCGTTAGTAAAGTGATAAACTTCAAATATTCTCCCCAGTGGAAGGTAGTGGAGAGCTAGAAATGATCTTATTTTATAGAGGACATGTCTCTCCATCATGTATCATGTTTGTCTCAAAAATGAAAATATTTTCTCAAGTGAGGGGAGTGTATCATTAAGAAATAACTAACCCTTCTTCTTTTTGCGAATATATCTGTAAATCTTTGTTTTTTTTTCTCATCAAGTCTTTTTTACTCGGGGCAACTAACCTATTGGCCAAAACCCATATTAGAATTAGAACAAAACCACTCTGTAACACCTTCTCTTGGACGCAAATGATCGGGAATACTTCGATGTAAACATTTTGTTGTCTGTTGTAATCTTTTAATGATATCGTCGACGGGCGGTGGATTGCAAAAGTTGCATTTACACCCTGGTACGAATTTTTTGATGAACATGGCGTCATGAGTGTATCCTATATGCGAGTTTTGGTATTGATTTTCATTTTGCAGATTGAGCTGAGTTACATAAGGATCTTCTTGATAAGTGTTTATGGAAGAATTAGAAGATAGTGCCATTTGCAGGTCAGAAGACTGTTCGCCAACATCATCAAGCCGGATAGAAGAATTGAAAGTATTATTTATTAAACTTTTATCTATTGTTTTCATACATGGATCATTGTGTTTGAGCTTGTTACTAACATTTGGTAAATTCATACATTTCGGTTCATATGTATACCAGTGCGAAAATGTAGGAAGTGTACTGTTTACTATTGGAAGATTTTCGGTAGATGACGTACTCTTAGTTTCATTAAAGTGCTTCCCGATAAACGTCGGAGTATTTTCATTGCAGCCACTTTCTAGGAAGGAAAGAGTTGATGCATAACTGATAGATCGTACGGAAAATCAAAAATCTTACTTTTGCTGGATACTATTTCTTCTCTACACAAGTACGGAGAAATATACACAACATCTGTCCACTTATATTGTTCTTGAGTCTTATTATATTTGAAGTTCAGTTGTTTGAACGTCAAACGTTTCCATAATTTAGAAAAATAACTTCTTGTTGAATTCTTTGTTTGAGTATTTGATATTGAATCATAATGAGTCTTATTTGATTGTGTTTTGGATGATCCTGAATATTATATTTGTAATTATTCACAATTATCTTCTTTTATCAGCGATGCATACTTGTTTTTAATTGTATGATGCTCATGAGAGTCTTAGACAATAATGTTTCTACGAACATACTGAGCAGAAGTTCAAGTTGCTTTTTCCTCGAAAACACTTTTTTTACATTAAATAAAAATTTGAAGACAGCATTTTATCGTGAAGGACTTGTCTGATAAGGCTAAAAATTAGTGTTTCGTTCTCAATGAATAAGAAGAATATTAGAAATTTTTATTTAGAAAAATATGTGTTTTTTTTGCACAGTTTTTCATGGTTTCATGCCCGATCCGAAAGAAAGGACGATTATCGAAAGCAACTCTAGATAGACTTCTATAAACCTGTCACGACTTCTATAAAATCAGAACGTTGGAATGTAGAAAGAATATCTCTCGATGAATTGTTTCATAACCCATCTCGAATCATAGAAATTTTATCACTCTACGATTAATTGTTATTTAAAAACTTTGAAAAGAGAGAATGTTTTTAGATACCGCGATTCTTTTGATATTCCCTAAACTAAAGTTTATTACTATTTGTATTGAGTACAGTTTTTTGTACTTGATTTTCAATTGATGGTGCTTGGCTAGCATTTGCCATGATATTTGTTGCGCCATGCTTTTTCAGTTTCGATTCGTTTTCCTTATCTTTTTGAAGTTCTCGAAGTAATTCTCGTCGTACATTTTGTGTACTTAAGCCAATCCACATAGGAGAATCATTAAACTGAGCTTTTGAACTGTCAGGAGTGAGGAATATAGGCGGTGAACCAGAAGGGATCGTGGATTTTAAATGAAAGTTCAATGAATCAAAGCTATCTATTAAAGACATTTTTCTAAAAGTAAAAAATAACAAAAAATGGGGATTGTAATAGAAAATGGCTTTATGAATGTAAATATTTCTCATTTACAACTTCCATAGTAACAAACTTTGGACAATCATGAAATACTGGTACTACAGTTTAACCAGGAAGACAATTACTGTTCATTTTCAATATAAAGGCAAAGCCTTCTGTGCCCTATTTCCGGAAACTTCTTTCCCGTATTATGCAACCTTATACTCAATAGTTTTCTTACTTTCAGATAAAATTATTTTTTACAAATGACAATATATTATTGGATTTCTATCACGTGAATATCTCAGACTAAAAATGACAAATGATTTAAAACCGGTTTCTATTGTAATAACAACAACCTCTGACAATTACAAAAGTAAAAACGGGTTGATAATAGCCGATAATAACAATAGTCGATCGGATTCATCGTTACCTGTTCTAGAGAAAACTAATGATGATAAAGAAGAGGAAACCCATAAAGAACATAATTTGTTAAATGATAAAATGAAGATTATAGATTCTTCCGTTACGAATCAAATAACAGAAAATATTGGTGATGTACAGTTATCCACCAGCAATAATAATACATCAGGACAAAATGATTTGCTTATAGAACAAAAACAAGATTCTAGAACACCTTTACCTTTACTACACAATAACGATACTTCAAAGGAGGGCATTAATCAATTCATTGAAACTGCCCATTCACAAGGATATAATTGTCTGGATTTGACGAAAAAGTCTATTATTGAATTTCCTTCTAAATTACTTGAATTTAATACATTGCAAGTAAGTATATGTCTTTGATACTTAATATATTATTTTTTTATTTCCTTTTTTTTTTCTAGTATTTATATCTTGAGGGTAACGAGTTAAAAACATTACCAGAAAATTTATTTGTCCAATTAGTGGCATTAAAATGGCTCGATTTGCGTAACAATCATTTGCATAATGTTCCACATAAAGGACTAGAAAAACATACAGCTCTTCGATATCTACTTCTGGGTGGCAATATGATTAGAATATTACCCAGTGAACTGGGTATGTTAAACAAATTAAAATTATATTAAACAGTTTATTTAAAGAGAACGTGTGTTCTGACTTTTTTTTGTGTGGTTGTTTCAGGCAAAGTCAAAACATTATCAGCTCTTAACTTAGATGGAAATCCACTCGAATTTCCACCTTGGGATGTGGTTAAACAAGGCTTGAAAGCCATTCAGATATTTTTAAGAGAAGACCATATACGAAGATCAAAGTTAGAACATAAGGAACTAGGTACGTTGGAGTTTGAAAAAAATATACAAGATCTATAAACATTGTCTAATGTTTGACAACTAATTCTATTCATTACATAATGTTCGCCACTCGAAGCCTTTTGTGTGACAAGTTACATCATTATAAGACTTTTATACCTGTTTCTAATGATCAGACTATTTTTGTTTAATGTCATTTTGCAGCGAATTATCTCTTCTCTACGCTTGAACGCGTTAAATCAGAACGCGTGGGTACTCATTACATCTCTGAGTGCCACATGTAATGGGACATAACTCGTACCTTCTCTGGAGAAACGTTGTCACGCGTTATATTTTAAATTTAACCCAATCGAACGCATTCTTGCTGGAAAAAAGTTTTATAATGTTTGGTAACGTGTGTTAGAGTATCAAAATCATTTCATGGGTACTGAAATTTAAACTAAGTTAATATAACAAACAAAAAGGTTTTAGATGTAATAAAAAAGTAACATATCTAAATAAGACTTTTTCTATAAAATAAAAAAATGAGCTCATTCGATTATAGAATGGTTACAATTTTTTTTGTCTTCTAGATTCTGATGATGAAAACTATGATCAAGAACGTGATATCAATTTGGTAAATGATGTATGGGCATCCGATGATGATGATGCCGGTGGAAATCAGCCGACATTAACTCCTGCTGCAAAGTCACAAGTTTCCAAAATCTTATTACGTAATTCAAAGTATATACTGTCTTCTTTCCATTCTTCAATATTGTTTTTTAATATATGTGTTTTCTCATGCTCATATTGTTAGCCTCGTAAAATGATTGTATATTGTCTATTTGTTGCACGGTGTTTGTTGTTTACTTCCTACAGGTCAGAAATTGGACATTATTCACCTTTGACATCGCTACAATCGTGTATTAAGTATGAGCGTGTAAGTTATAGTGAAATGAGACTACATCAGACTCCTAAAATGGAATCGAGTTCGGGTGTCCAACGAGTCAAATTGCCATCATTGTAAGATCTATACAATAACAACTTGAATGGTGTGAGCGTGTACTAGTTTTAAGTGTGGATATTTCGAATCAACAATATACATTGCAATACATATGCACTATGCACTTGTTCAATACACGTACATCTATCAGTTTATATTTTTATATTTTAAGTCTTGTAGCACTTTTGAAAAAATCATGTCAATTTAATATTGTTAGTATCGTCTCTTGTGTTGTAGAACATTTTTCATAATAGCATGATCGATTTCTTTTCTCTGGCACTTTAGTCATTTCTCTTTTTTCTACTTGGTATTTATCTCTTTTCTGAAACTTTTGTTAACTATTTTAGAAGACCACAACAAACGATTAAATCAAATAGTATAAAATCTTCTGATAGTTTTGTTAACCGAGCTAACGAAGAACAACGTTTAATCAGACTCAGAGTAAGACCAAAATGTATAAAAAAAGTTATATTGAAGATTAGATCTTCTATGTCTGATAAAATATTTTATTCCTTTGTCATCTTGATGAATCGTAATATCGAGAGATAATGTTAGACAGCGTCATCATCGTTGTTTTGAAATTTAGATTGAACATTTTCATATTTTTGTTTTAGAAACGAAATATTAAAATCGATGGACAACTACAAAAATCAAAAAATTCTGCATTATCCAATGACTGGAAAGAAAAATACAGAGAAGATCAGAAATTAATCTGGCGAAAACGTCTCACGAAAGGAAAAGGCAATTTTCAAATACAGAAAACACTTTACGCTATTACTATTAATCAGTATTGGATTGTTTTTAGATTATCAAGAGACTGTAAAAAATACACCGTTTGGAACTGATCCAAACTATTTAGATATAATGAATAAAGATCAACAAAAATTTGTGGAAGATGCTGTGAAATTTGAAAGTAAACGAGTTCGTTCGCCTGAAACAGCCCTCAGAGAAGAGGACGAAAGGTAGATGAATTGATCATATTCTCATCGATTAATTTGTAAACATTTTATTTTTATTTATGATTTAGACGACAACGTGATAGACAAATTCAAGAAAGAATTCGACAAATCACTGACAAAATGTTACAACGACGAACGCAACCAAAAGGAAACGTATTTGAAGAGAAACGACAGGCAGAATTAGAATTAAAGGAGGTATGAATAGGTTATAACCAGGAGTTAGAAAGAAAATTGATTGCAAATATTGTAGTTTTTATTTCGTAAACAAATCTGTGATCTAATTGACTACACCGGTCTACATATAAATTGTACTCACTTTTTTTTGAACTAAAGAGAGTACTTACCAGCTGCGATTGAGATTGCATATAAAGTGGGTTTCCAAATGATTTGAATGAATACAATGAAAAGATGTCGCGTCAAGCTCGGAAGCGTCGCGATTTGTGGAAAAAACGTTTTTCTATTTGATTGAGTCGTTTATAAAAAAACGTTTTTAAACGAATAAGTGATTTGGTTTATAGCAATTTTTATGAAAGTTTCATACATCCACAACTGACTGGAAACCCTTCTGCTTCATCACTTTTTCGATTTCTTTCAACCATCTCGGTCGAGGAAAAGGATCATTCTTGGACTCAGTACAAATGACTCTTCTATTTTGATTGTCGGAAAAAAACGATCACATGTAAGGATAAACGTTTGTTAGTGACCAGCATTAATCGTCCATTGTAAAAGAATATTTTTTGAATTTAAAAAAGTGCATAAATTCTGCGTACAAAGTTATTGATGTTTATTGTTTAGCGCATATTTTCTCATCAACAATTCCCTACTTTTTAATTTTATAGCTTCGTAAACTCGAGAATGAAGTTAAAAAACGTCGTGCACAAATCGATTATCGTTTAAAACCTTATACGGGTGATGTCAAATCGAAGAAGAAGTTGCAAGTTTGACTATGACATACTATAATGTGTTTTCATTTATTGTTACTTCTCAATTTGAATATAATTCTTTTTTTGTCAACAAAACTGAGTTTTCTTTGTATACGTAAGTTTCTAGCGCTATTGTTGTTATCTCTTTCATATCTAACTGTTACATGATGTCTTTATGTATAAATATACATAAAAACAGACATTTTATTTTTGAGAAAATAATTTTTATTTAAATAATAAAATGATTTTTATTTAAAAAATCAATTTGGTTTTTATAAACTCGTTCTTAACTATCTCAAGAACTGGGAATATTACTATACAATGTTTAATTCTTACATATTTATACTAACATATAGCCTATTTGAGAAATAGTGTACCATAAATTTCCATCAAAGTCAGTTCAGAAAACAGTGATGTCTAGATTTTATGTTGATATTGTAAATTTCATATTCGATTAACTGAACCTATAGTTAATTTTTAATTGTGCATTTTATACTAATTAGAAAAAATTTAGTAAAATCAGTACTATAGAACTTGAGGCACAAAAATAATAGCAATGTTTTTCAGATGAATATCATTACTTCTAACTCTTACTACAACCGATTATCAATTAAAGCGTTCAAGTAGAAGTTAATCTGGTAATTATAAATCTGATAGTATCGATGCTCTATATTCTATATCATCATAATTGTTCAGTGTTCATTTTATAAACGCCTCTATTTGTTTCTAACTCACTACACACACACACACACACACACATACACTCATACATGAACAGTTGTTGAAATACTATAAGCGAACTGGTTATTATATACGTGTGATGATGATGATGTGTTTGACTAAAGATGACAAGTTGACATCCAAAGTAAAAGTGATGGAAAAAAAAAAATTCTTACACCAGTCTCTCTCTACAGGTCATCTTACTCTCTGTGTGTACGAGCGCCTGCTGTCTTAAAGTTGTTGTTTCTACACTGATATTTGTTGATACTCTTTTGCAAAACTGATCAGTTTTATTCATGTTATGATGTAACAATATGACTGAAGTGAACTGAGTGTGTCATTTGATTAACTCAAGTATATTTTATTGAAAACACCTAACTTTCTTCATTTTGTTGTCGTTTTTTTTGTTCAAATTCAAAACGTATGTATCATTATTGATAGTATAAATGAATAGATTCAGTATAGAAATTAAACTAGTTATGTTTTTGTTATATAATCAAACAACGACTGTTCAGTATACTGATTTTTGTGAAAAGTGACATATTGCTCTGAGCTGTTTTGTCCAATCCATCTTTCACAAACGTATGTTATCATAGTCGATTATAGAATACACAACTTACTCACCTTCTCTCGATCTATTAAATAATCACCTGAAAGGCAAGACAACAACATTGGCGTGTCAGATATGCCAAGTTCATTATCATGTGCAATTATTATTTAAGTATAGATGTTAAGATTGGCCAATATCCGGACCATTCTATTATTAACTGAATACAAGAGAGAAAACGAGAGATATTTCTTTTTATTTCCGATTATATATACTGGTATGAGTAAAAAATTCGTTTTGGCTATGATCAAAATAGATATATGGCTTAGTTTTTGATTTGTATAAGAAGATTTGAACAATTAAAACAGATAATTATGTTAATGGAATGAAAAATAATTCAAATATACAGTATAGATGAAATATTCGACTGTAAAGAGAAGGAACAGAAGTTTATCAATCATTTATATAACTTATAACTAAAATTATGATATTCCCGATGTTATTGGTTCCAGATAGATTCAGAGCCATGGATTGTGTCATCTGTACACGATGAGAACTGTACGTTTAGACTAACACACTTTCTCTCTCTCTTTCTCCCTCTATGATATTCACCATTTTTTTCATATTTTAACTACTACGTTAAGGACAACTGAATTTTTTATTACTCACTTTAATCATATTATCAGGTAGAAACATAATCCGATGCTTTCAAAGGAGGAAAGCCAAATTTCATTTAATTATTTTTTATGTCTATTACATAATCAAGAGTTGTCATTATAATTAATATTGATACTTAAATGTTAGAAAAGAAAAGAACAGTAGCTTATTCGTGAACTAAAAGATATAATCAAGCTAATCGAAAGGTTTTTTAGAGAAGTATAACAGTAACGATGTACAATAATACCGTTTTAGTACGCTGAAATATTTCTATTCGAAAATATAATTATGAGCAAAATGAGAGAATTGTATTTATATTCTATTCACAAAGTTCTGTGTTCTTAACAGTATCTCGATAGTTCAACTTTTAATTTTTGTTTTTTTGCTTCATATTCAGTGGCCACTGATCATTTTTTTATTATTTTTGTCGGAACAATGCATGCAGAAAGTTATACATTTGTGGTCACTTCAAACAATAACAATTTAATCGGCTTGTATCAGTGTTCATGTTTTAATAACACGCATATCTCTCTAATAGATATTTATTTCATTTCGGATACATTGAGACTAAAAAATACTACTCAATAATGATCTGAGCTTTCTTTGTTTGATGTCTATATATGGACTTTCAAGTCTTATTTAACTGATGCACAATTAAAAGTTTAATTGACATTTACTAATAGTATGTCGAGAGAAGCTACTATTATGATGAAAATTTACATTGAGACAAAAAACAAAATAGAAAAATGGTATCACGTTAAAACATGCAACAATTAATATCAGTCTATAAAGATGACTACATGGAACATTAACGATACTATTTAAAATCATTAGTGACATGAGAAATGAAAATTTTACTTAACTTAATTATAGTCTACTGATGAATATGAGAAAATTTTTTACTGAATATTTAGTTTTTGAGAACAATCTAGATTTAATATTTTTCTTTCAGATCTATTCGAAATTTTCAATAAATTAGTATCGCTGCATTTTATGATTAATTTATATTTTTTAGTTGCAAACCATAATAAAAAAGTATTTCTCCCATAATCGCACATTTTTTGGATGATTATTTCTATTAATATAACATCTGCATAACAATTAACACACAAATCACAATAAAATAAAAACAAAAGTGAAGAATTCACTTTCAGATAAAATGATGATGATTAAAGAATGACCCGACCCGTTGACCTTTAAAATAAAAACCCGTAGAAGAAAATATGGTTAGTAAAACTATCTTCCATATAATAGTTTAATTTAATCATGATAAGTTCTCTGATCGTTAAAAACCGGGACATAAAACTATTGCATGAAAATGGATGATAACATTGCACTAACAATTATTATCTTGCATTGAATGCTACTTTAGAGAAGGAAAACAGGAAAATTTTGTAGTTGCTTAAACGTCTTATAACAGTGACGGTATATCGGGCATTTTGTACATATCTTTAACGAGTTGTTCCATTCGTATCGTTCCAATCGTTTTACGAAAAAGTAATTCTTCGATTGTTGATGATGATATATCAAGTAGAGAGCGTATCATTGATAAAAGTTTAGCAAAACGAAGTGGTTGTGTAGGATAAGTAGTGGCTATATATCGATTTAACAGAGCTTGTGCTTGACTTTGTAAACATGCTACACTTTGTAAATCACGTAAATGTAAATTGTTTAAAGAGGCATTACAATTAGAAATTACTAAAACATGAGAAAAATATGAGAAAAATGTTAAAAAAAGGTAATTATTACTTTTAATTACCTGTTTTAAATAAGACAATAGTTTTTAGCATATAAAATTCTGTTGAATCAACTTGCATTTGTTTAAATTTAAGAATAAAATCTTGTAATTGTTCAATATCAGACGATAATTTTTCACTGTAAATACCCGCTTTGGTTAACAAATCATCTCGATCGAGTGATAGTTGATTTTCAGCTGCACCAAGTACAAATAAGTCTTTCCAACCATCTTCCAGTAATGATAACTAAACACATGAAAAAGATGATGTAGTTTTTAAGTAGATGTCGTTTTCCTTCTTCTTTTCTGTACCATTACTTGATCTCGAATAGATAAACCGAAAAATGCCGGCACAGCTTTTGCCCAGTTAACAGCATTGAATAATATTCTTGCAGCTGTTTCATGTGTATCATGATAATTAATTCGTAAATCAAATGGATGCTGATAAAAAGAAAATAGTAGTTAAACGGATACAATATATTTGAAATTAACTTTGGATTTTTACCTTTGGTGTGGGATGTACGACTGTTGGAGAAACGGCAGTGATTGGAGAAGATATACTTGTCCTGTTGGAAGAAGATGCGGTAGTGACTGTCATGGATGTTGATGGTGTAATGGGGAGATTCATATTTACATGTGCAGCAATTCCATTTGTACGTAGAAATGGCGCGGTATGATAAGCATTGATCAAATCACTAGACTCTTTGAGTAATAATGCCATTTGACGACGAATCGTTGAATTTCGTGGTCCTCGCTCATGTTGTACAGCTGGAAGAGCAGAAATAAAAATTATTTCTTTCGAAAATACTATGACGCATGATAGAAACATTTATAAGAATCAAGATGACTTCCATTTTGAAGAGAATCCTTGATTCTATATAGAAATGTGGAAAACTCAGTTTTGAACATTTTAATAGATCCTCCTATCTAAAGATAATACAGCCTAGAACTAGGTAAGTCTGTCACTGATTAAAGGTAAAAATTTCATCTAGTTACATCTGGATTAAATTGAGTGCAGTTCGATGGTGTTGACTAATCCAATGATGATTATACGATGAGTCGATCGATGCAGCAGACACTTCAACTAGAACCCAATTTCAATCAGCATGTAGTTAGATACATGTACGTTTTAATCTAGTTGACAAGCAGGCGCTGTATCTATTTCAACCGTCAAATACTCTCGTTTACGTAGTTTTACATGGATGATTCTGTCTATTATTTTAATGTCTGCCTTAAGCACCATTACTTTTCTCAGAACTAAATTAAATAAGTAAACATTCTTTATTCTTTATCAATTTTGATTCTATTTAAAAATTCCAATGTTCAATATAAAAATGATATTTGTTAGTATTACTCTTTTTTTTTTTGTCAACAAATACATTGATCGTGTTTTAAATGACAATGTTTGGAATGTTTTTACTTATCATTGATTTTTAGTTCATGTTTCTTTTTCACATAAAAAATTGAATTGATATTGTTCAAGTATCATAAATAGAAAAACTTCTAGTGAAAAGAACAAATTGACACTTTGAAGTGGTCAAGTAAATAATTTTATTGAAACGATCAAGTGGAAATCAACTTTCGCCAATTAAAGTTCTGTTAACATACTATTTGTTCAACCAATCGAAAATATTAAAAAAAAAATTGTTCATATAGACTGATTAACCTGAACTATGTTGTGATAAATGCCTATGGCTCTTTTCATTTTCACCATACGCTTCAATCATATACAGAAAAAAGATGTTTTTTATGTTGATCTATGTATATATACAAGAATGTCTAGCTAATATTTATAAAAATTTAACAAAAACTTGAATACTTTAGAAGTCATTGATCCAAATTCAAGTGGACGATGTTGGATAGCACTATATTTTACTAGTTGCTATCTTTTCTAAATCGTATTAGTTAAATAGATCGACTGAATGGGAGATTAATACGAGTGATATGCATAATTAAAAGCTATTCTACTACTTTAAATAGTCTAGTAGTCCTTTAAAACATCATTACCTTCCTTATTCATGCCTACTTCTAGGCATTTTTTTAATCGACATGCTCTGCATTGATTTCGATGTGTTTTATCAACAGGACAATTTCCCATGCCATGATTTTTACAAACATATTGTCGATTTCGCCTTATTGATCGTTTAAAAAAGCCGGCACATCTAAAATATTAAAAAAAAAATTATCATTTAAAATTTATTCTAATTCCAAAAGTAATTGAAAATGAAAAAATATTTTACTGTCAATATATTTACAATTATTTCTATAGTTCAATCAGAATAGATATCATTAATGCACAATATGTAGATTTAGTCGAAAACATGTTCAAAAAACAATTGATACACATCAAATTCCATCATGATACACAAACACAAGTTCAGAAAGCATCTGCAGAAGTTATTCGAGGATCAATAGTTTAACTTATGGATGCAAAAGACGGTGGTTACACCTACTATGGATGGGAAATATTCAAGGGGGACTTACGAAGACTTTACCGAATTTTAAAGTCCCGAAAGTCCGCTCAAGTTCTCGGACTTTGGGGACTTTAAAAGATGTGAGAGGACTCAAGTCTATAAAGTCCGCAATTTTCCCCTTGAAAATATTACAACGTTTGTTCACTATTCTAATAATCATTTCTGAAATAGTTTCATCGTTCTTCAAGTAGTTTATGATGTATTTTTAAAAGACACATCGTTTTTTCTGGTTAACTTGAACAAAAAAAAAATCTAGTGTTTGAAATAATTTAATGCTTATCTCCATTTCTGATTGTTTTTACTACGGTCATTTTAGATCTTAGACTTATTAGGTTGGCTCATTGATATTTCAATTTACTACAATGACAAATTTTCGTATTTTTTATAGTCATTCTCCTAGCGTCATTAGCATCCTTCATTTATTCTTCAATCGTCTATATATATTTTTTGTCATGGTCAAAATGTTCAATGTTTAACTCTTTTTAATAACGCGACAAGTATAACGTTTATAAGTGAACAAAGGACGGTTTCTCTATGATTTTAGACTAAATTGTACACTTTTATTGCTTTTATTTTTACAGGTATTTAATTAGGGGTGTGTTGTATTGTGGAGTAACCAATATCGCGTTCAACTGTCACACACACATACATACATAAGATATACAATAATTAGTCGAGACCATTAACAATCAACTATCAATGATTAGTCTTAGCCCTTAGGCTATTTCTCATTTGATACCTCATCACTACATATATACAGTCAGTCACTAACAACAACGTCGAAAATTAAATATAATGTCAAAAAATGAAATGAAATGAGCAAAATTTAGAAGTACAACAAAGTGACAACGGCAAAGTACAATACTATTGTCAAATAAGCGTATAATTACAGTGAATAACATATATATATATATCATGCTTCTAGATCTGAATCCACAGACAAACAATACATCCGAGTACTAGATACAACACATTACAAAACAATAAAACGGAAAAATATTACTTCTCTTTTGTTTTAATTTTCTATTAAGATAAAAAGGTTACAATTCAATGCTTATAGTTCTCAATTAATTGCTATCGTATGATATATTCTTGCTAGAATTTAAATTTAAATTTAAAATAAATTCAAACATTTGTGAATAATAAGCTCAAATGAAACATTTTTAACTATTTTCATGGCAGCTATAAACTGATAATGAAACTTTATAGGGCAACTATAAATCATTAAAAAATACAAAGAATAAAAGCTCTAAATACTTGCCCATCACATGCAAATATACCATAATGTTTTCCCGATGAATTGTCATTGCACACTCGACAAGGCACATCAGTTAATATTCGACCTAAAATGATACAAACATGTATTGAATACTTGAAAAATAATCCTAATTCTAAGGCACTCATGGAGATTATCTCAACATTTTTTCTAGTTTCACGATTCTAACTCAAATGTTTTTATACAAAAGTTATTTTGGGGGTTAGAAATAATAAATCTGATCTATCGGAAATACTCATGTTTTACACTAATTCAAAATGAAAAGAAATGATTCTATTTCTGTCCCACACAATTCTCATTACTCACTTGAAGTAGCCACGTGTCTTGAATTCATCGTTTTATTAACAAACAGTTTGATATTTCGGTTGATCAAATAATTCCATGGATCAATCTTAAAACAAGACGAAAAACGGCGATAACGAACGAGTCTAGTGCATTTTATTTATTTTTTGACAATACATTATTGTTATATTTTGTTTAAATTCTCAAGGTTGATTTTATATTTTGTTGCTTTATGCGTCGTGTATCGTATCTCGAATTTCGTTGTTCTATTTTATCAATAATTTTTGTGTTGCATTAATTGAACTAATTAATTGACTAAACTCTAAATAGATTCAAAAAGTTGAATAAGACATCGGACTAAAACTATCGTGGGTGGAAAAAGAGAAGAGAGTGGTAAACTTGAAATGTAAACTATTCAGAATTTTATTCTATTTTAGAAAAAAATCTGAGTGATTGGTGCCTACTGCATATTAGACAGATTGACTCTTTTTGAATTGAAAAAAAAAAAGGAAACGAATCGAAAACTTAGTTATCTGTCAAAAAAAAAATCATTTGTTACTTGAAAATGAATACACGTTAGAATACCAGTAGACGAATACAAAAATAAATGCAAGAAATCTTCAAACATATCGCGACAGATGATTGTTTCTTACTGTGTGTGTTGTTAGTCTCATTTATTTCTTTTCTATGGATTTATTTATGTACATATCACATCGCAAAAAACGATACCTACCTGTTCATCGTATTGGTTTTCACGTTTTAGTTATTTTCATTGGTCATCTTTTTTCTTTTCTTTTCTTTCTTACATTTTGATTTTAAAAATGAGAAAGTCAAAAAAAGTCTTTTTTGAGTAGATGAAAATAAAAAAAAAAGAAAATACACATAGAACTTGACAAACGAAGTTTCTTTTTTTATCGTCAAACAAAAATCTTACAAAGTGATTATTACGTCAATAAAGAACAGAAGCATCGTATTCAACGTGAATCGGTTTGACTGCAGCTAGGATTATATCTCAAATAAAACTGAAGTAGTCACCAGAAAAATAAGAGAAGAAAAATAGAACATGATTTTCTTCCTTACTTTACCCAGGTAAAGTAAATTATTTTATATAAAGAGTAAAAAAATAAAGCTAATGATAATGTTTTAAAATGCTGAAAGAAAGTCATTAAATATCGTATAAACATAATACATATTTTATTTCATAGGATCTTTTCTCAAAAATGGCATTGGACCTATTAACAGTACCATGAAGACAGAATAGGTGTGACATGGTGTACTCCTTCTGTTTTTTAAAAAAACTTTTCTCTTTAATAATCTCTGATCTCTTGCCCAAATTTACTGGCGCATCGAATCAATATTTCATGAAAACATACTTTCTCTAAAAGAATTGACATCATCTCTTCTGTTTTCTCTAACTACGGTACTGCTGATAAAGGTCAATCTTTCTCAATGGCGGATTTAGAATTTTTCTAAGATACATACGTAGTGCCGTGATGAAAGGAAAGAGTAGGAGGGGTGTAAATTTTTTGAGAGAAAACCATAGCAGTACGAGAAGACAACATCATCTACTATTAGAATTTCTACACTATAACTAAATGATAATAATAATGTTGACATCAATTTGAGAATTTTTTCTCATGGAAAGAAAGTGGGAGAAAGATTTTACTCTGAATTAGTTTGGGAGACAAAGTGAGAGAAAGTATGTTCTCGTTAAATATTGATTAGATTAGTTACCAAATATGGACAAGAGTTCAGAGGAAATTCTCGAGAGAAAATAGATTGTTAAAGAGAAATTTTTTTTCAAAAGCAGAGGAGGCGTACACCCCTCCTTTGGCTACGGCACTGTACATACGGTGGGCACAGAAAGTATAAAGTGCGTACAATCGCCATACTCTCTAAAAAGAATAGGTTTATTACGAAACCTTTTATGGTTCTAACATAAAGGTTTCGTAGTCGAAGTACGAAACCCAAAAGGGATTCATACGAAACCTAAAACGGTTTCGAAATGGTTGCACTTCTCTATATCCTTTTAGGTTTCGTAATAAATCTATTCTTTTTAGAGAGTAGAAACACAATTTTTTGAGCCAGTTGTGCTCGGTAAAAATCACTTTTTTCCTCCAAAGGTACGAGCAGCCGCTCATACCGCTTGCTGGCTAGATATTCTCTACTTCTACTCATCGTATCTCAAAGTAATTGCATTCAATGATTAAAAATTAAATGAGACAGTATATCAAAGCAAAGCCGTTTGAATATACGTCAAAGTCAGACTTTCATATTTAAATTACTATGTGTACTTTACTATCACAAACTAAAGAAAATTTTTTACTAAACACAATAACATTCCATAGCTATACAGAGCCAATTAATATTAGAAATTAGAAAAAGTGATTTCCTGTGTGTAATTAGTTATATGTAAACATTATGTACACATATTGAAAGTTCATCGTGTAAAATGAAAATTATTTAAAGTCATTTCAAAAGATGTGATCAGTATAGATATATTCGTATGTAGATTTTTTGTTTGTTTAAGTACTATCAATTCAAAAAACGGGAAGAGAAGAGAAAGAGAGAGAGAGAGAGAGAAGAAGAGAAAAAAAACAGATATAGGTTACAAATAAACAATGATGTTGAAGGTGATGCCATGGTGAGACTATCTAATTGGTCATTGTCTATTATACACATATTCGATAGAGTGTAAGCTTTCTCTAATGAGATGTAAGTTATTGTCATTGAAAACAAAACAAAAAAAAAGGGGAAAACGTTTTCTTCTATTCACGCCTGTTCAGGATCAATATGTAAATGTTAGTCGAATCCTTGAGCTATTATTTGAAGTTGTTAAGCTTTTGTTAGTTAGATATAAGGGTGACAAGTGAATAAGCGTGTCCCATTATGAACAATAAAACTAGCTCGTAGACGACAAAATGTCTCTAGCAAAAAGAAGTGTGTCAACGCCGCTAATGAGACAAATGTTTATGTTAATAGAGACTGTTTAGCTATTCTTAATTGCGGTACTAATTTGTCTAAAATATCTCATATTCACAGATGTGTCAATATTATTCTCCAATCATTAGGATTAACTTATTTTTCAACTGTATATTAGTGGAGAAAATGTTTTCTCTGTTCATCCAATAGGTAATACAGTACTTTAACAAAAATAGTTTCTTGCCTTTCAAAAGATCTACTCTTAATTTGTCAATTTATCTTAGATAATTCAGATATAACTTAAATAGATAGACATTTTAGCTTTGTCTATGGATAAGTGCGAGATGATGAAAGGATGAACTATTGAGAAATGAATACCTAAATGAGAAATAAGTCAAGACTTCTACTGATTTTTTTTCTTCAAAAATAAAACAAAATAAAAATTCTAATCAATAGAAAAGGGCTTCTACAATTTGATTCAAAACGGATCTTTAAGTTCAAATTTCGATTGATCTAAACCTCTTTTCTCTATTGACTTTCATTCATGTGTTATATATTTGTGAATATTCAATAAATCTGGTTCTTTTCTCTTTTTTTTCTATTGACTTGTAAAGATAGGGACTCATAGTACCATTCAATCAAATTATCTCATTTCAAATTCGATGAAAGATAGTAAAGTTGACTATGAATGTCTTTTTTTTTTTATTCATTTTTTTTTCATTTATTCATCTGTATATTGCTATACTGATTTATATTCAACTGGTTACTTAGTAAATAAATGAGACAAAAGAAAGATCGGAACTATAAGATTTTGTGGTTCGTTCATTTCTCTTTTTCAGTTTCATATATATATATATTTTGTTTTTTTTGTTTTTTTTATTTATTATACTGACAAAAGGCAGGAGCGGATGTTTGCTATATTATGTAGATATTTCATTCAATGATTGGATAGGTGAATAGGATAGATAACTTTTGGAATCGCCTACCTGTTAATAAATGTATGTCGAAGTAAATAAAACAGAAAAAAAAAGAACAAAAGGGATATATAGTATAGTTAAAGGTTTATGCACACGTCTATGACTTTATAGTGACTATAATTTTCTGTCAAAGTTTATCTTGGAATAATTATCAACTCAATTAAGTTTTTTTTTTTTTTATATAAGAGAAAAATTTAACAAACACACCTTACTTTTAGTTTCAGACATGTACTGTTCTATACATAGAGAGAAAAGCTTGTATAAGTGTATTAGTATATACATTTCAGGTGAACGCATGCAAATTTCTTCTTTCGTGTGTACATGATATTTAGTTTATTGTGACATGTATTAAAATGATTATCGATTCTATAGTAAATTATACAAAGTTTGTCAAGCTGAAAAGTAATATCAACTATACACTTTATTGTTGAATAGCGAGTGTTTTTTTTTTTTTTCGTCTCCTTCTAAACAGTTACACTTCCTATTTTTAACAGAAAAAGAAAAAACTTCGTTATAGGATATTATTAGGACAAGTTTTGATTTTAAACTGTACTAGGAAAAATTGTTCCAAGATCTTTCTATTTTTTATGTTGTTGTTGTTAGAGAGAATCAAGAAATGTTTGCTAACTTTCGATGTGATTTATATCAACAATAAGAATTGAATTTGTTTCTCTAAATTTTACTTTTAGTTTTTTGAATCAAAATTTTATAACAATGATTTATTTTATAAAGTTTTATCTGAGTATTTTCTTACCTGACGAAAAAAAAAGTAAACGATAAAATTTGATCTTCTCTTTACCTCAAATCTTTTTTACATGTAATTATCTTCTATATATATATCTTGTATATAGAAGAGCAAAGATTATGTATTATTATTGAAAAAACGGCTTTGTAGATATTTACGTGTGTAGTGAAGAACAAGTGAGTTAAGAACCAAACTCATGTGCGTGATGACATGTTTAATCCTCTTATGTGACTTTAGCCTGTTATATTAAAGAATAAAATAAAAAAATAAGTAAGTACGAACGAAATGAACGAAAAGAAAAGTTCAATTGATGGAAATTTTTTTTGTAACAAATTCTTTATCCTCTAATCAACGATTCTTGACACGTATTCGATCTCTCTGTCGTAAATTAGAATTAAATATGTTATATGATATAGTGTATACATAAGAGTGATGATGATGATGATGATGATAAGAATAATTCTTCCATTTTGACATCAAATTAACTTGTTAAGTAAAGATAATTAAAAAATTCGTCTTTAAATAAGAAACAACTTAAAAACTTAATTATTTTATCAAAAATACTTTAGAATATATGAAAATATCGATGGATATAATGTTATTAATATAGATGAAATTGCATATAACATTGAGTTATATGTTTGAAATATTTATTTGATTAAATTTCACAAATGAACAGTTGTAGACTAGAATTGATATATAGTTAAAGTTGTAAATGATAAGTTTTTACTCGATTAAAATGGATTTGTTTTGTCTCTCAACAAACAATTGTATTTCTCTCTATTCAGTTTTATTTTTAAAAAGAATGACATGTAAAGGTGCGCTCATCACATCGGGTTATTTTCTTTTCTCATTGTTAAAGGCAGAAAGGTACATTTACAATATCAAATTTTATATTTTTGTTCATCATCATTATAACAATAACTAATAAACCCTGTTAATTCTAGGCGGCATAAATTAAAGTGAGATATCGGCGTTCAATAACTAAAAAGAGTAGATATCTATTTACACACATATACAAAAACCTGATGTCATTTTGTTTATTTGTGTTAATCCATATTACATAGATAAGTTGTAGCAGTCAACAAGTTCAACAG